AATTTCACTGCAGTGCCTCAGACCGAGAGAGTCTGTGGTTCGAGTTCCGCCGGTGGCAGGATATTCGACATTAGAGTTCAGTCGGAGCCTGGAGGAGAATTTTAGCGGCCGGCTGCAACGATCAGAAGCTCTCCGTGGTTTCTTCAAACATCAAACAACAGGCGAATGCCGAAGCAGTTCCCAAACAAAACGAGGCACGGACCGCACGCGATCTTTCTTTCCCCTTCCTTGTCATATCCTCACCCCTTGCTTATATACACTTACGTGCACTGCACTACCCTACATTTCTTTCTCCGCCCCAGGGCTTGTCCCCTCTGGGGCGGATCCCCGCTGATGGGAGATATTTGGTTGAGGAAAACTCAGCTATATTCTTAAAAAGTCACTAAAGAAGTACGGAATGTACGCAGGCTGTGTATTTAAGCCGCAATTCCCCGAGTTATTAAACATAACTTTTCATTCAGCCATCCGGTTGCTGTTGTAACACTATTCTTAAAACACATTTTGTAGTAACGAAACTTGAGGGCAGTATTAGATATTCAAATATTAATGTCAAATCAGTTTCATGGGCAGGAATCACATAAGTCCTTTACCACTATACTACTAATATTTACCTTCCAATGTACGTTAATATATTATATACTGTCTCTCAAACAAAAAAATATTAATATAGTTAGATGTATAGAACGTTGTTTTGAAAAATCACGTTAGATAGCGCAATCGGCAGGCAATGATGTCCATAATCTCTTCGTATAGATTTCCGTATACTTGTACATATTCCTAATGGCAAAAATTTGGGGAAAACGTTGTTAACACATTTTCCGCCGCGGACAATTGAACCCGACTAATTTGACACCTCGTTGGATAAGTTGTTACAATGTATTATGGGCTATAACATGAATTTCCCGCTCAATAGTGAAGTATTGATAAATATTCACCCCGAAAACCCTGTGCGAGAGCAGTACGGCCAACGTGCTAGAAGGACTTGCTTCCTGAGGCACTGTTAGCGACCCACGGCGGGGCAGGGCAACTCTTTGTCGAGGGACGTATTGGTCGGGATTGCGTAGACTTGCGTTGTTTGTAGCGTCATTAATTCTCTGTTCGTTCGTTCACTCCCGCATACGTCGCATGCACTTGGCTGTTAAACGCCGCACCTGTGCGAGGTCCCCGAAGCGGAAGGCGGCGGCGCGCGCGGGGTCGGCGGTGCGTCGGAGGCGCGCGTTGAGCGCGCGCGAGCGCTGGCGCAGCAGCAGCACCAGCAGCACGAACTGCGCGCACATGACGCTGTTGAGCAGGTGCACGAGGTGGCCCGCGATGAACTGCGGCCGCGACCAGCCCCGCGCCCACACCCACCGGTCGAAGGCGTACAGCGCGCCCAGCGCCGGCAGCAGCCCCGCCAGCGCCGCGCACAGCAGCGCGCTCGTGCGCCTGCGCAACAAGGAGACATTTGTTTTAAATAGCCGTTCAATCGTTTTTAACGGAACCATGATTTGGATTTACTTAGTAATCTCCGATGGGGTTTGGCACCTGTACATTAATGGCGAAGGAACTCGAGCATGCGGATAAAATGCCAGAGCATGGAGAGGATCGCTCTTGGTCTTGATGGTAACAACTGTGGTGGAGATGTTGTACATACCAGACATCTAGCGTTCGCTATATCCCCTTCAGTACGTCGTGTGAGTGGACAAGTCAAACATCTTACTCCGTTAGAAATAGAGTGATACCTGTACATCTGTGGTGAGCGGCACTCGAGCACGCGGTCCACGTGCTCCAGCTTGGAGAGGATGAGCTCCATCTTGCGCTTGCGAGCGGTGTGGCTAAGCCTGATACCTGTACATCTGTGGTGAGCGGCACTCGAGCACGCGGTCGACATGCTCCAGCTTAGAGAGGATGAGCTCCATCTTGCGCTTGTGCGCAGTGAGGCTGAGCGCAAGCGTGACGGCGGCGGTGCAGAAGCGCGAGCACAGGTCGAAGGCCGCGGGCACCCACAGGATGGCGCGGCGCGTGGGGTAGATGTGCACGGCGTTCCACGTCATGGTGTAGACGAACCACGCCACGGTGCCGGCCAGCACCAGCGCCGAGTACACGCGCGCCGCCAAAGACGAACGGAAGACGCGCGCGTCCGTTGTAGGGGACGCCTCCGCTGGGAAGGAGTACGGCGCTAGCCCTAGTACCTGCGGAAGACAAGAGAGCTTGTCGTGGGGGACGCCTTCACTGGGGCAGAGTACGGCGCTAGCCCTAGTACCTGCGGAAGACAAGCGAGCTTGTCGTGGGGGACGCCTTCACTGGGGCAGAATACGGCGCTAGCCCTAGTACCTGCTAAAGACAAGCGAGCTTGTCGTGGGGGACGCCTTCACTGGGGCAGAGTACGGCGCTAGCCCTAGTACCTGCGGAAGATGAGCGCGGAAGGAGAGCGTAGGCTGCCGCGGCCCGAGTCAGCCGAGTAGATACACGCGGAAGCCTACACTCGTGGCCACGACCTAGACACAGGTGCCAACGTTTCGGCCGCCATTCTACGATCTTCCTCAGGGCGAAATGTGCCGAGATACACGGCGCTGTTTGTTTACGAGTGACGTTACCCTCCACTAGTCAATCAGATGAATTCGCCATGAGGAAGTTTCCAATATTGCCCGGAACTTTGGCAGCTGTGCCTGTGAGCGGCGCCTTCCGATCATACAAATAGTTATGAGTGTAATGTAGTTAGAGGCATTTCAATTGAAAGGAGGTAAATGACGGACCCCACTGGACTTTTTATATTGTCTCCCTCATTAGAAGAAAATTTGAACAGAAAATTCGATTCTTCTGGAAATGTAAACGACGAATTAAATGAAATACTTAAAAATTTATCGTTGAATAAAACATTAAATATGCTCCGGATGAGGTGGGTCAGAATATCAATTGATGTGCTCACATCTCTAGTTTTTCATGGTTTGTCCGATCAACAAAAGGCGAATGTCTGATCAGAAATCTATCAAATGAGGTAGAAATTGCAGTGGGTTGCATTCAGACAGGCAATGGACACTTTCAACGTTCAATAGTATTCGTAAGCTGGGTGTTCAGCTGTTCAAGTATGCGATTCAATGTTGTATGGCAGTTAACTTTGAAGGTCTAATGACGCAATAATCTCGTGTAGCTGCATGCATCTAGCTAACACATCCATCATCCTTGTTTCAAAATCTGTCAGTTTAATCTTAACTGCAGGTGCTTGAGACAAAAGAAGCTATACTTTACCTTAGACACGTAGTACAACGGCTTGATGGATGAATGAACGTCAGTTGGCGCCAAGCAACACTTCATGATTCCTCTTAGGGCCGTTATTGGTGCAACTGCGGCGGAATATCAGACTGTAAGGGAATGATGTAGAGTTCTTGCGGAACTTCTCCAGCGAAGCCTTTTCTGCTTGGCCCTTTGTCTTCTCTCCAATCGCCAGTTCGTAGTTTGAAGTAACCGAGCGGAAGATCCTGTTCCCTATTCCCAGAAACCTTGTTGAAATGTTGATATTCAAAATAATGTTAAAACCAAACATTCATTAGTTTAGAATTAAATGATAGTGCCAAGAGAAAATCGTGCCAACTTGCGTCCTGTTTAATGTTTCCACCGATCAATTGGAGGGTAGTTGAGGTTATGACCCTTAAGGTGATGTATAGATCCCCAAACAAGTGGCGCTCGAAATCGCGCTGAGGCCGGATCGAGGTTTGCGCTGCAAACTGCTTTGGTCAAATACCTTAACACGAAACGAGACACTAACGATACTCATGAGTCACGCACTCAAAAAAATGAATGAAAATTCGGTCGAGAGCTCAGTTTGCAGACACGACTGTTAATTTCCCCGGTGTAAATGAAAGAACAGATTTCTCTCATTGAATCGCTGCTGAATACATTAATGTATCTAATCGTTTAAAATATCTGTTGAATGAATTTGAGAATCTACAAAAGAAACAATAGATGCAACCGTCCCAGATACCGCCTCAGTTGGAGTGCCCTCAATGGTCGTTGGAATCAAGCAATTCGCAAAGCTTTTTGGGTTAAAAAAAGTAGTAGTTTCCGCTTCCTCGGAGAAACTGCTGGCTGATGCCATATTTGCTCTTTAGTTGCCATATTTGTGACAAACCTCTAAACACAGTATTAACAAATGGAAATAAAACGTGTGACGAATCTATTAAGAATTCCTGGATTTCTCACTGATATTAAATGTACAATGTAAGAGTTATGTATAGCGAGGTAACTGAACTTCTAATGAAAAACATTAGATGTTTATAATTTGAGAAATTCTATCGGTAAGGTATTCTTCCGAAAACCATGGATTGACAAACTGTATTGGTGTGAGTGCTTGAGGCACATTGCAAACGTTTTGCTCTCGAGTATTTTATTGCGTACCGATTGTACCATTTTAAACTCCTCGTTTCAATTTAACGAAAAACGTACTACGTCTCAGTATAGTCTGAGGAAACAGATGTCGCGCCCCCTCCCCCCTCACTCCCTTCAACATTTCTTTACGTATTTTTTCCAGCGATGTTGCCCAAATGAGCTACTACGTGGTTATTCAATAATTCATATGAGCATAAATTAGACTAGCATAAATTAGTTTGCTTTTCTTCCAATGCTACACAATACGACCAACGAATATAATATTGTAAAATGAATTGAGTAAAGTGACTGCATCATACCACATTGCTTACACAAACTGCATCATACCACATTGCTTACACAAACTGAATGATACCACATTGCTTACACAAAAAATGTTACATTTCTCGACTTAAAATCTGCGATGTAATTTGTTTCATTTCTTAATTTGAATAAAACCTGGAACATAAGTTAAAATATTTTGCACAATTTTGAATTTCCTTTGTACTGTTTCATTTCTATTCTATTTAATTCTGTCATAAAATAATTGAATATGAATTTAATTTTTATCAAATATGTAAGTATTTCTTTCAACAAAATCATTGGAATATTGTATTCTAGTATCCCAAACCTGATGTGCAATTCACTTGTTTCAGTTTTTCTGCAAACATTTCTACCAAACTACTTCATCTCGTTAATGCTGTGAAAGGAACGGAGGAATTCAAGATGGATCATGGAACACTAATAAGGCGGTAAATACGACTTTCCTACATATTTCTGTTAATTTTTTTGTCTTAGGTTCTTTCATTGGAATGGCTTGGGTGTTGGTTTCCTTTATTTGTTTACTATTCAATTTGTACTTTTCATGATTAATAGTTCCCAAGTATCAGTCGCAAGTGTGTGTTTCCTTTACAAAACGTGATTTATCAAAGCAGCCAAGATCACACATACGGGTATAAACCAGTGGTCATCAAAATCTGCTTAACTATGACGTGACATTTTATAATTGCTTATAAAACATACCTAATCTAAGAAATACAAGGAAAAAATCTACTTATAAGGTAGCTTTTGGTAGACATCCAATAAAACAGAGGCAGATCAATGCTTTATACATTTGTGAATGTGAATAAAAGTGTCGCTATTGTTGAAGTGCTCTGTTTTCTAGTTTATACAATGACTATGCAAAGTGGCATTAGGACAGTTTAGTATCAAAATGAAAATTCCGAATCTTGCTGTACTTTGAGTGCAGGTATACGAGATAAACAAACAGTCCTCTGTTATCTAAGTAACGTAAATCTTAAATATTCACAAAAAAATAACTTTTCCACCATCTGGAACTCATTGCTTTACTTGGGTTCATTGCATTTCATAATTTGTCTCTGTGTTTTATTCAGCTACTGCTAATGGAACAATCGATACGTTATTAACGATAATGCGTTCTTCACGTAAATGTTCTTCTCTTTCAGTTAGCAAATATAATTTTCTTATCTAAACAGTCACACTGTGAGAAACATCGTACTGAGATACCATGTTGTTTCAATTACCAAATTACATTGTGTATGGTTACGGATAACTTCAAGTGGTCACTTAAAAGAACAAATCCACAGTCTTCGCTGTTAACGGTATTGGGGTTAGTAAAGGGAACCTCGTGCTGAAAAGGATACTCGCGTTGGTTACAAATTTATGTTAGGTTTCTTCAAAGATTCACAGAATGAATTATTTTTTCGAGGTTTTGAAAACTCCTCGATTGGAACATTTTGCAGCCTTGTAGGGGCTACGGCGCTCTCGCGATTATTATATTATCGGAATTACATTTATATGTTTTCTGTTAATGTAATATGGCTTTGAATTTTACCTATGACTAGATTTTCATAAGATCACTACAAATTTATACCATTTACAAAAGAAAATTAAAACTATGGAAACTAAATTATAAGTGACAGCAGATTATAAGATTCTGTTTTCTCATCTATCGTACGTTGTAACAAGAAGTTACCAAAAACAAAATAAAAGCTGTTTGAAATATGGATTTTCCCCTTGACATTTTACACTAGCTACTGAAATAATGGCCATGTGTTTAACGTTGCATTATTCTGACATTCATCAGAGATGCGTAGAACACAAGGATGTGGCAACGATATCGTGGGTGCTCTGTACTTTGGACATAGCGAACACTCATTAATGTTGCACACGACAACATTAAATGGTATTTACTTCCAGGATACATTTTTTGTAACATACGATTTCCTAGTTGATTACTCTCCACATTCTTGAGGAACATGTTCTCGCTGCAAGCAAGAGACTTATGTCAATGAGTACAATTTTTTACATTCACGCCAAAGTAAAACCTCACGAACCCAATTTAAAACATAGATTAACACTTGAAGTGAGTAATAGTTATTAACATACCTAGAAATGTTTTGAGTGTTATTACTGGCGATGCCAAAAGTTAAATACGAGGCGGAGCGTAGCAGAGACGAGATTTTGAATTTGGACGAGGCAGTAATAACACTGTAACATTTCGCGGTATGTTCAGCGTTTTATTGATCACCATAAAATCTCAATTTTTTTGAGACAACATTTTACTTTACTGCTATATGAAGTACACAAATTCTGTTGTTGCGGCACAACAACCGATATTGTTGGATATTGCTTACAATATATCTATTCAAACTATGTTCGTAAACCGTGATTTGAGAAAATATGGATGCAAATAACTCTCCTGAAACTAAAGACACTTAAAGAAATGATGTTGAATGAGGAAGTTGGCGCGTCGAATTCCAATGGCGACATCTTCAGATTGTCAGTAAATATGATTACGGGAGAAGTGTTTAATTTGGTGGAATGCCAGGAAAATGGGTTTAATTTACTACACCTTGTTTTAATTACACTAATAATATTACAATGAACAATACATGTCCAAAAAACTTCTACGAGTGACTTTTATTCTGAATTGTTTGAATCTGGTTTATTTTGTACTTCGCCATGTTTTTTTCTTAATAATTGACTTAATAGCATTTGACTTGCCATGAATCGATAGTTTTTTATTTACGTTGCTAGGGATGTTAAAACTCGTTGCTAAGGATTTTAAATTTCTAACCTACAAGTAAGTACAAGTGCATTTAACAAACTTATAGGGTAGCATCTGCACCTGCATATGGTTAAAGACGCATGTGACCGATAAAATTACAAATCAGAGGAAATTTGGAGATGGTCCGTTAATCGGACATTGTGTGTGTTGAATTTCGAAAGAATATAGATTCTTAAAGTTTAAAAATGTGTTAGTTATACAAGAATTACCCGCAAGAATTGGACGATCGTCAGTGGTGTCGACTTTGAAGAGTGACATCTCAGTGGCAGCTGAAGGGACTTCTCGGAGAAATTACGACCACAGTCAAAACATAGAGTATTTGTCGTAATAATTATGGATATTTTCAAGTGTAATTTGAAAAATACAACAAGAATATTCTGGAACATGTATCTAAAGTATGATATCTGTCATTGGGGAAAATGGATTCCATAACCATTTGTGAGACCTCCTATAAAAACTTGCAGGATTCGATAATATAAATGGACAGAATGTCATAATAGTACGAAAAAACATTGTTAACATCATCCACCTTGCTTATAAATAAAAAATACACCTTGCATATAAATAAAAAAACAAATAAATACAAATAATTATGATAACTTAGAAATAATTCCCAATGTTGTTTTGTTGCGGGCTACTTAATACAAGTTTTAACTTCTTTTGAATTTTATTATCATTACAAAAACAATTAATAAGCACGTGCTTCTTCTTATATAGTAATACATATTTCTATAAATTACCAATGCGAGACACTTACCGATGCTTTAACAGTTGCGCGAATTTCAACAGTAGCAGAAACTACGCGTGTGACACAGACCCACACTGAGACAAATCATAGTTTACAGAAGTGATATCACACGACGTAAACGGTATGATTTGAAATTCGCTTAGCCTTAGACTCACCTGCGCCAGCGCTATCCCCTTTGTTGATGTCTGCTTTGGCGCGAGGCGCCGCGAGTATGCGGTGGCAGGCTGCGCAAACAATGGCTGTGATGAACGCGCACGGCCCACTCGCGTGTCTCCCTCGGCCGGCGCTTTCCCAGCAGCGACAAACACCGCGCCCCGACCCACGCGCCACTCCAGCTGCCGTGCGCGCGTTTTTGCTGTCGCCCCCCGCCATCAGCGATGGCCATGAGAGACGGGCGTTGCAGCCCCAACGCCCACACGTGGCGGTCGCGCCCCGGAACAACCCCTATTCTGCATGGAATGCCCGCGGTACACCGACAATCGCTGAGGCGCATGAATTTGTTGGGCACCGCGTCATCACGCCGTCTCATTCCACATCGTCGTGCTACGCTTTGCCCGGTTTTGTTCCCATCCCTCTCCTCTTTCCAGTTTTACCCTCCTCCTCTCCTCCGCCTTATCTTCTCGTTCCGAATCCCTCTCCATTCCAGCCTCGACATCGACCAGACCCCGCCTCAACTCCACGTCGATCCTGCCTCCACCCCAGCAGGCCTCCATCCCATTCTACCCCGAGTCCACTCCAAAACCATTCTGACACCGCTACACCACCACATATGACACCTCACCTTTACTCTGATACCACCCCGACCCTCATTCCCACACCCTACCTCCACTCCGCCTCCGCCCCAGTTCTAAGGCCACATCCCGCCCCCTCCTCGCCCCCGCCTCGTCCCCGCCACACCTTCAACCTGCCTGCACCCCGTCTCCTCACCTCCGCACCGGCACCTCGCCGGTGTGTACCAAGTCCCGCTTATCCTGCTCCCTCCACTGTGCGTCCAATCTATCTCCTCATCTCCATACTACCCCCATCCAAACTCCACCCTGTCTCCTCGCCCTACCCCACTTCCTCGCGCAATTCTACCCACGCCACCTCATTTTATCTTCATCTCCCTTTACTTCATCTCACTCCACTTCATCTCAATTTACTTCATCTCACTTTACTTCATCTCAATTTACTTCATCTCACTTTACTTCATCTCACTTTACTTCATCTCACTTTACTTCCCCTGCACGCCTGTTCCCGATCCTCAGCGGATTCATACTATCTTCACCCCCGATGATGCCGATCGATACCTGAAGCGCGCATGACAACCACTCATTTCAACAGCAACTGACATACAACTGTACTCTACCGACTCCAAGACTCCCAAAATATAAACTGAAAATTGACCCGATTATTCACATTTACGTCCGTAGTATTGTGGGATCAGAAATAAAATTATTGGTGAAACGGAAATTGTAAGCGGAAAGAAGCCATTTAGATGGTTGTTCCTACATTATTACATTTTTTCGTCGCAAATTGGCCTTTCTATAGACCACGCGAACGTACAGTTAAACTCACCAAGTCCCAATCATATATTTTCCTGGAGGGATGTACGTGAAACTTTATTAAGGAGATCAGCATTTCTGCTAAGTCCATTTTTATGCCCCAGGGTTGTTAGCCCTGGGGGCACGGAAGATGAAATGATGATGATTATGAGGGGAGGGAGGACGACACACACATACAAACACAAATACACCCATGCCCGAGGCGGGAGTTGAACCCGCGATCTTCTGGTCCGCGACCGCTTCAGCACTGCTGCCTTTATGGTCTCGGACGTCTGACCAGCGCACATTATATTATTGATATTTTGCTAGACCATTATTTTCAGTCTTGTCAGAAGTCTTTGTTACTCGTGGATTCAGGACTATCCCACT